ACAGGAAAAACATTTGACAAAATACAGCATCAATTCTTGATTAAAATCCTCAACAAAGTAGGGCTAGATGGAACATACCTCAACATCATAAAAGCCATACACGAAAGACTCACAGCTAATATCCTCCTTGGGGAAAAACTAAGATTTATCTACAGTCAGGAAGAAGATAGGGAAATAAACTCTCACCATTATTATTTAACATAGTACTGGAAGTCTTAGCCTCAGCAATCAGACAACAAAAAGAAATAAAAGGCATCCAAGTGGGCAAGAAAGAAGTCAAACTTTCACTACTTGCAGACAACATGATACTACATAGAAAACCTGAAAGATGCCACCAAAATATTGCTACAAGTAATACACATATTCAGCAAAGTCACAGGATATAAAATAAATGTATGGAAATCTGTTGCATTTCTATATACCAATAATGAAGTAGCAGAAAAATAAATCAAGGAATCAATCCCATTTACAATTGCACCAAAACCCATAAGATACCTAGCAAGAAACCTAACAAAGAGGTAAAAGATCTGTATGCTGAAAACTATAGAACACTTATGAAAGAAACTGAAGATGACACAAGGAAATGGAAAGACATTCCATGCACACGGATTGGAAGAACAAACATTGTTAAAATGTCTATACTATCCAAAGCAATCTGCACATTAATGAAGTCCCGATCAAAATAACACCAGCATTTTTTTCAGAGCTAGAACAAACAATCCTAAAATTTGTATGGAACCATGAAAGACCCTGACTAGCCAAAGCAATCCTGAAAAAGAAAAGCAAAGCAGGAGGCATCAGAATTCTGTACTTCAAGCTACATTACAAAGCTGTTATCGTCAAGACAGTATAGTATTAGCACAAAAAACAGAAACATAGATCAATAGAACAGAATAGAAAACCCAGGAATGGACCCATAACTAATCTTCAACAAAGCAGAAAAGAATACCCAATGGAAAAAAGACTGTCTCTTCAGCAAGTGGTGCTAGGAAACTGGACTACTTCTTTATACCATACACAAAAATAAATTCAAAATGGGTGAAAGACCTAAATGTGAGACAGAAAACTATCAAAATTCTAGAGGAGAACAGAGGTGGGCTCTTTGACCTTGGTTGCAGCAACTTCTTACTAGACATGTCACTGGAGGTAAGGGTAACAAAAGCAAAAATGACCTATTGGGACTTCAAGAGAAAAAGCTTCTGCACAGTGAAAGAAACCATCAACAAGACTGAAAGCAGTGTATTGAATGGGAGAAGATATTTGTAAATGGCACATCTGATAAAGGATTACTATCCAAAACCTATAAAGAATTTATCAAACTCAACACCCTAAAAACAAATAATCCAGTTAAGAAATGGGAAGAACACGAGTAGACATTTTTCCAAAGAAGACATCTAGATGGCTAACCAGACATATGAAAACAATGTCAACATCACTCATCAGGGAAATACAAATCAAAGTCAAGATGAGATACCACCTCACACCTGTCAGAATGGCTAAAATTAACAACACAAACAAGTGTTGGCAAGGATGCAGAGAAAGAGGAACCCTCTTTGCACTGTTGGTGGGAATGCAAACTGGTGCAGCCACTCTGGAAAACAGTATGGAGGTTCCTCAAAAAGTTAAAAGTAGAACTACCCTATGACCCAGCAATTGCACTACTAGGTATTTACCCAAAAGATACAAAAATACGTATTTGGAGGGGTAACATGTACCCCAATGTTTATAGCAGCATTATCAACAATAGTCAAACTATGGAAAGAGCCCAAATGTCCATGGACTGATGAATGGATAAAGAAGATGTGTATACACAATGGAGTATTGCTCGGCCATCAAAAGGAATGAAATCTTGTCATTTGCAACAAAGTGGATGGAGCTAGAATGTATTATGCTGAGCGAAATAAGTTAGAGAAATACAAATATAGTATGATTTCACTCATATGTGGAATTTAAGAAACAAAACAGATGAACATATGGGAAGGGGGAGAAAAAGAGGGAAACACACCGTAAGAGTCTCCTTACGATAGAGAACCTGAGGGTTGATGAAGGGAAGCAGGTGGGGGGGGGGGAGCACGAAATGGGTGATGGGCATTAAGGAGGCTACTGGTTGTGATGAGCACTGGGTGTTTTAGGTAAGTGGTGAATCACTAAATCCTACTCCTGAAAACAATATTACACTATATGTTAACTAACTAGAATTTAAATAAAAATTTGAAGAAAAAAAAAGACCTGGAAATAATGCAAATTATCTGTGTAGATATTGTATTTGTATTGGGATTCCATCTTTGCTGAAGTGTCCATTTGTTTGAGGGAACCAGCTCTCTATGGTTATACCTATATAATGACAAATATAATTATCAATGGGTAGGAAAAGGCTGTTCAAGCACATTTTATGCATGAGTGACAGAAAGAATTAGAAAATTAAAAATATAATCAGGATTGCTTATTTTTGCCCTACAGTGGAAGAAGACTGACTGCTTTTTATGGTGTATTTTTACCTGAGGAAATTTAGGAGTGGATTTGGCTTTTGTAAATGTTTACAAAAATGTCTTTGCCAGGGGAAGTCAGGAGGAGTGTGTGAATGTTTGTGTTCCTTCAGTTTCTCAGGTTTGTTTGCAAATTTGCCTAGATTTACTTCACTTTGGAGTACCTGCCAGATAAAATGTTTCCTCATACCTGTGTTTTAGAACAAAGAAGTCTTGTTGAGTAATAATCATAGCACTAGCTAAAATCTATTGATTGATTTCTATATGCCAAACCTTGTGCTAAGCATTTTACAAGCAGTGGCTTAGAACAGTTAACTGACTAGCTCATGGATGAACTGAACAGTTATGTATCTGATAAGTCACTCAACCAGGGGCAGGATCCAGATCACTATAGCTGAAGTTTTGTTTTTAACCACTTCTGGAGTTGGAACTGGGACTGAAATCTGGAACAGTATTGACGTTGTATTACAGATGTAGCCATGACCTCAAGAGGCTCATTGCTCTGCTAGAAGTCATGGGGAGAATCAGCAGTTTTGAGAACTGTTAGGGAATCTGTTAGTATAATCTGGTTTACTATTTTTAAAGCGTATAGGAAAGGTATAACACTAAATGTACACATTTGAAAAGAGAAAACATCTCAGATCAATAATTTAAACTCTTGCCCTGGAGCAACTAGAAAAAAAAAAAAGGGAAAATAAACACAAAGCAAGCAGAAGGAATAATAAAGAACAGAAATTAATGAAATTGAAAAAAGAAAAATAGAGAAAATCAGAGACAAAAAGCTGGCTCTTTGAAAAGATCAGCAAGACTGACAAACCTCTAGTAAGGCTGACAACAAAAAAATGAGAGAAGTCACAAATTACTAGTATCAGGAATTAAACAGGATATCAATATAAACCCTGCAGACATTAAAAGGATAGTAAGGGACTATTATGAACAACAACACAGATAGATTTGACAATTTAGGTGAAATGGATCAATTCCTCAAAAAGTATAAACTACCACAAGTCACCCAGTCTGAAATAGATCATTTGAATAGTCCTGGAACTGTTATGGAAATTAAATTCATGAATTAAAACCTTCCGAAAAAGAAATTTGCAAGCCCATATGGTTTCGCTGGAGAATTCTACCAAACTTTTAAAGAACAATAAGACCAATTCTACACAATCTCTTCCAGAAAAATGGAAAAAAAGGAATAAGTCATTCTATGAAGCCACTATTACTCTGATACCCAAACCAGACAAATACAATGCATGAAAGAAAACTACACACCAATATCTCTCATAAACACAGATTCAAAACCTCTTTAACAAAGTATAATTTAGCAATGAACAAGTGGGGTTTATTCCAGAGATGCAAGGATGGTTCAATATATGAAATCCAATGTATTCTGTCATATGTAAAGGCTAAAGAATGTTTGGAATGTTTGGAAAAGTGTTTCCTTCTCCATGGCCATGCATTCCTATGGAGGAGGTAAGCAGAGGGGAAGGGAACTCACATTTATGAGGCTCTAATGTGGAAGAGCTGTGTTGAGTCCCTAGAACCATGACCTGGATGTGTAACTTGTGTAGGTCTTTTTGGAATGAACTATTAATGCTGAAAAGGGCCTTAATAAATGTCGGATTACTTTATCACAGGCTGGGATTTCAAGTCCCCCCCCCCCCTTTTTTTAATCAAACGTTTGTAAATCTTACTAGGAGTGCTCAGCTAGGGAGTTGGTATTCCAGAGTCCATTCCAAGTGCTATGGATCCTTTAGGATTTATGTAACCAATATACTGTTGAGACAAGACAGGGCATTCATGCAGGTACTCGCCTACCTGAAGCGGAGAAGTGCTTCAGAGCTTTAGGAATAATTAGGACTTTTTGCTTTGTACACAACAAATAATTTCCCTTTTTTTTCCCCCTGTGAGAAATGGGCAAGCCTGGGGAGCGGAGAGTGTCAAGTAAAATTACAGAGCGACGGTTCTGGCCAGCACACTGTTTGCTGAGGCGGAGTGATGGCACTGTGTGTTTTTAAGTCCCCGAGGCTAGTTAACAGTTTAATAGTTAACGGACTCGCTGCGGAGAGCCGTTGTTACACAGTGACAGCCAGGACTGGCTGATCTGATCCGAGTGCGAAGTCGCAGTGATGCGCAGTGCGCTGGTCCTGGCTGACCCTCCTCCGACGGCGACCCAGCGGGGCCGGTTCTTCCCGCGCACTGCTGCCCCCGTCCCCGCTCCCGCCGGGCGCCTCCTACTCTCTCTCTCCCGCGCTGTCCGCCCCTCGTCCCGCTGCCCGCCCCTCGTCCCGCTGCCTTCTGCGCAAACGCACGGGAAGCCCCGCCCCACCCCGCCGCGCGGCCCGCCTCACTGGCCACGCCCTCAGCGCCCTCCAGCCACAGGGTTTGGGAAGGGAACCTTCTGCAGCCAGTCAACACCCGCGCGCTGGGCGGGGGCGCTCTCGGGTTGGCGGAGGTTGTCGGCCGAGGGCGGGCCCATTGAGTGACGGGAATTCTGTCCAGTCATCGGAGGCCGTGTGCCACCGCCCCCTCCGCGGCGCGGGCCGCCCCGCTCTGGGCGCTGGGCCGGGGCTCCGGGAATGTCCCGGGCCCAGCTAGCTGAGACGCGCGCCCCACTTCGCCCGGCTCGGCTGGTGTCTGCACGGCCTGAGGCCCACCGCGTTCCGAAATGGCCGAGCAGTCGGACCAGACCGTCAAGTACTACACCCTGGAAGAGATCCAGAAGCACAACCACAGCAAGAGCACCTGGTTGATCCTGCACCACAAGGTGTACGATTTGACCAAGTTTTTGGAGGAGGTGAGTTGGTGAGGCGTGACGCCGCCTGGGGTTTGGGGTTTCCGTGCGGCGACCGGTCTGTCGTTCGCGGCGCGGCGGGGTTGACGCGGGCGGCAGTGTGGAGTGTGCTCGCCCGTGTGTGCACCCGGCTCTGCACACCTGAGCGTTCCTCGCTTCTGCACATCTGCGTGTGCATACCTGTGCGTCCACACCTGGGAGCGCGCCCCCGGAGTCTGCGCACCTGTGCGCGCACACTCGGGAGCGTTCCGTGGCGCTTCGGGCAGCGTCGCCGCCGGCGAGCCATTGTAGCAGCCCGCGGCGTGCCCACTTCGGGCAGAAACTGCCTCCCTTCGCGGGTGCGGAGGAGAGCACCACTTAGCACTTAGCGGGAGCGAAATCGGTCTGGAGCTGGTTTCCCTAGGAGAGGGCGCAGCTGCGGAAGGATTTTGAAGGGACCCTTTTATGAGTTTGCATAAACGGGGTCTCCATCGCAGACAGGGATCGTCCTATTTCTGTTATTCCGGGAGTGGATTTCCAGTAGAGAGAGGCCGGTTGGATAGCACCCATCCTGAGAACAGTGGGATCCCACAAGAGAGGACCCTGAATTCAGAGGTCGGGGTGTGGTCCGCACCGCTGTCCCCGGGCCCCCCCTTCCCCACGGTCCATGCCCACCCTGTTTCCCAGGAGGGAGCGCGGTGATTGTTAACCGCATCCAGAGAGGACTTTACAGCGAGGTAGTGCTGGACTCCGGGAACTAGGAAGTCAACCCGCGGCCTGTGGGAGGCTTTGGTGAAGAAGGAAGGAAGAAGGATAGGGTAGTGAAAACTGCCAGTGGGACTTGATCCTTAGCTTTGGAAGTTATAAAATAAGTTTGCGTAACGTAAAAGAAAACATTCCTTTGATAAGATTCTTTGTATTAGGTTATAAGTTTTGCAGCAAATTCTAAGACGCTTTTCTTGGCTACCTCTGGATTTGTTTTTGTCACTGTGCCGGAGTTTGAATCATAAATCTGAACGCAACACTCCCCCTCCTTTATCTCCCCCTGCCCAGAGAATGTTTAGTGCCGGGCATTTTTATATAGTTGGAGGGGAAAATGAAAATAGAGGCCTGGTCTTAGCTGGATCACAATTTACATCAGAGGACTTTTGCAGAAAAGATATTTTAAACTTTTGAAAAGAGTTGAAGCTGATATTTATTAATAATACATTTTACTCCTAAATCGCCATTTGGTGCCGTGCCAGAAGATAAAATAGCGCCCCGATTTAGGAGTGGTTTAGAGTGGGGAGGCAGATCTGATCTGCCCCTTCCACTGAGCCCCGGGCATGTTTGCTGCAGCATAAAGTCAGGGCTAATTGATGCCAAAGGTCTGCTTGCAACTGTTCCTTGTTCCTCTCCCATGGTATGTGTGTAATTCAAGGGTTTTACGATTCAGCGTGTGCTTTCTTTGTTTCTGTCTGTAAAAAAAAGAACATTTCGGAAAGAGTAATGGGATATTTTTTGAAGGATTTTTTCTTTTTCCTATTTTGGGCGGTTCGGTCCTGTACATTATGTTGTACAGGTGGCTTCCATGGCCTGCCCACTCCTCCCCACCGCCCCCTTGTCAGCACTCCCTGCCCCAGTTGTGACCACCAAAATGTCTCCGGTATTGTTGCCAAATGCCCCCAAATCCGTCCCAGTGGAGAATCACTGTCATAAAATGTATTCTGGATAACTTTAAGGGTAAATTTCTTGGGAGATCATAAGAAGGTGAAGAGTATTAAACTTTAAACCACTTACATTTCATTCTGGTGAGGCAGGAAAGAGGACATTGCACAAAATTTTCTAACTTGTAAGAGACGTGCACAAGCTGTTGGGTGGGTAAGTTAGCCGGCGGCCAATTCCATGATTTCTCTGCTTTCAGTACGCTCTCTCGAAGTAGCCTGAGAATGTCTGTTTATCACTATTACTGGATAACTAACACAGTGAGATAAGTAAAAGTTACTTACAGTGCAGTAAATGAAAACGAGTATATGGTGGTTCTGGTTTCTTTTCTCAATTGACACCTGGTAAAATGCTCCCCATTGTAGCCTGTGACCTGAGTTTGGAGCCCCGCTGCTCTCTGGTAGTTATGCTCTTGCTTTTGACCAGTAAGTTCAGTATCTTCTGGACTCTTAGAGGTCCATCTCTCTCAGAAGACTACAACCTGAGAAGAAGAGACATCATTTTGTTTCCAGAAGCTTCCGTTGGCAGAAACAGGAATAGCACAGCAAAAAGCTGGGGTCACTTGAGTCTAGTTCAGCAAGGAGTAGACCCCGGGGGGGCCTTGGGCTCTGTAACAGGGCCTGAAGTCCACAGTGGCAGGCTGGAAAGGACGAGATGGGCCCACAGAGCGGGGTCTGGATCAAGGTAGCCAAGGAAGGTGGCTCACAGTTTGAAGTTGGACACAGTGGCAGGATGGTGGGCCTCTCTGGGGTGATACCCCATTCTGGGATCCCTGCCTGTTGCTTCCTGCGTCTTTTTTT